CACATAACAGCATACTTGTACCCTAACTGTTTTTATTCACTGAAAGGGTTTTATATTCCTTAATAATTACATGTTTATCTATGTAATTGATTACTTTGTACTGTTATCTTACATACCTTTTCTATTCTTTAACTATTTATACTCCTAAGCAAACGCAATTTTTTGCTACTTATTTTATAACTTCTTATCAGGTCATTCATTCTAATTCAATCATGTATACTTCTATTTTACTTATGTAAACCTAACCTGTTTTATCCGCAGAGCAATTTGAGTAGAGCTTATTATTATTATTATTATCAATATTATAAAATGAGGAGGTCATAGAAAATATGAAAAAATGGTGCTGACAGATTGAAAGCCACAAAACATACACCTAAGCAAGAAACTCCTTCAAGCTATAGCAACATTTTTGTCTATGAAACGGTGTCTTTGTTTTCTTTCTAAGACAAATTACAAATGTTACGTCCCATGTATCTAAATAATTTTGGGATCTTAGATCCAATTGCACATTCATGATGATGTTGGATGTGTGGAATACAAAACCAACAGTGACTCTGGGCGGCTGGAGCTTCTGCAGCCTCTCACAATAAAACCGTATGCCCGCGAAGCTTCACTCACTAGCTATGTGGAGCTTATGGTCAAAAGCCACAAATCCTTAATTGAGTTATAACGATTTAGGTAAACATCCCCAATCTTATAATTAAATTTTTACAAACGGATGCTTTTCTGGGAAATCTGAGTATACTACACTTAGACGCATTAAGAAATAAGTTACTCTAGTTACAACGAGCCACGTGTTTGGTAGTAGCAGAAATCAATGCCATATGTTCTTACCTAAAATTTTGTACATCTCTAATTCTACGAAATTGTTTTAAAAAATCCTGGTTATTGGTCAAAATTGTATAATTCCAGAATTCTTGATTTCAGATAATACAGTTTTAAAAACACGCCGGGGTACAAAACTAGTGCACGGGTGAATCCTCTTTTCTATATGATCTCCCAGCTATCCACAAAAGAAAACAACAGTCAAATTTTCAATCATTTACTGGTTCTGAAAAGTCACAGCTTTTCAAAATACCATCATTAAAGACATACTTGAATCATTTGCAGTAGCAGTCAAGGTTATCACAAGCACCAGATATGCACCCGCGATCTTGGCAAGATTTGGGGCAGCGCGACTCACATTCCGCTATTTCCGTATACGCAAATTTTGCTTTGGGGCAAAGTGAATTCTCAAAAGCGGAAGTAAGTGACGACAGCATCAGCAACGCACAGATGAGAAATCTTTTGGACAACATTGTCGACACGTTCAGTATATTCAGCGGTAACTGCTGCCTGTAAACTTTTTACGAGCCTTATAAAGCGAACAATCTATTTGCTTATCTTTTGTAGCAGCCCGTTTACCAGGGGTATTAAAAAATATCGATTACTTCACGTACGTGCTTAGCGCAATAGATCAGTACCAGCTAAACTAAAAAGACGAAATGAAATTACCTGCTTCCACAGCAACTGCGGTCGCAGAAGTACAACAGTTTCCTAAGAATATGAATTGTACTGGAGAACCGAACCGCAATACGTCATCCCTATTCCTTTGTCACCTTAAAATATACTAAGTGACATATAAATCCGAACCACCCAGTTTAAATGGTTTTATTTTAATAAAATTTTGTACAAGTACTTAATGAAGCATAATAAGTAAATGATAAAATTTCAAAATGATTGCACTGCTTTAAAGCCTGTTGACCTTTAATAATGTGTGGATGCACCCTGATGTGCTACGCATTCTCCAACGCGCCTAGGCATGCATCTGATCAGGTGGTCAATATCCTCCTGCGGTATCTCATTCCAGGCAACCACCAACTCCTCTCGAAGTGCTTCTAGAGTCTGAGGAGGACGTTCCAAATTGAGCAATCTCCTACCCATCATATCCCACACGTGCTCAATTGGGGATAAGTCGGGAGATCTTGGTGGCCATGGTAACAATGTGACATCATTATGTTGAAAGAAGTCTATTGTGACTCTTGCAACATGTGGTCGGGCATTATCTTGTTGGAAAGTTGGATCTGCCAGGGTGTCAAGATAGGGTAAAAGATGGGGCTCTAGAACTTCGTGGATATAACGCTGCGCGTTCATATTACCTCTGATGAAGATTAAAGGTGACCTGGAACCATAAGCTATAGCACCCCAAACCATAACTCCAACAGTGTAATGAACATGTCTTTCAACAAAAAACTGTGGATTCCTCCTTTCACCACGTCGCCTTCTAACCCTTACACCGGCGTAATCGCCTTGAGTGGTGCAGACAACGGTCACTCTGGGATCAGAAATGGAACAGTATTGTCTTTAGTGACGAGTCTCGATTTTGTTTAGGCATGCACGATGGTCGTGCCAGGGTTAGAAGGCGACGTGGTGAAAGGAGGAATCCACCGTTTTTTGTTGAAAGACATGTTCATCACACTGTTGGAGTTATGGTTTGGGGTGATATAGCTTATGGTTCCAGGTCACCTTTAATCTTCATCGGAGGTAACATGAACGCGCAGCGTTATATCCACGAAGTTCTAGATCCCCATCTTTTACCCTATCTTGACACCCTGGCAGATCCAACTTTCCAACAAGATAATGCCCGACCACATGTTGCAAGAGTCACAATAGACTTCTTTCAACATAATGATGTCACATTGTTACCATGGCCACCAAGATTTCCCGACTTATCCCCAATTGAGCACGTGTAGGATATGATGGGTAGTAGATTGCTCAATTTGCAACGTCCTCCTCAGACTCTAGAAGCACTTCGAGAGGAGTTGGTGGTTGCCTGGAATGAGATACCACAGGAGGAGATTGATCGCCTGATCAGAAGCATGCCTAGGCGCGTTGGAGAATGCGTAGCACATCAGGGTGCATCCACACATTATTAAAGGTCAAAGGGCTTTAAAGCAGTGCAATCATTTTGAAATTTTTATCATTTACTTATTATGCTTCATTAAGTACTTATACAAAATTTTATTAAAATAAAACCATTTAAACTGGGTGTTCGGATTTATATGTCACTTAGTATATGAATTTGAATCATGTTTAAAGCGCTTGTTCTTGTTTATTGTACATAATACAAATGGTTGTGATTACGAATAATGAATTACTTGTTTCTTAAATATCGTTTTTAAAAATAAGTAAGTTAAATGCACAGCTTATTTTTACATACGAAGAGGTAGATGTGCCAAAATTTCTAACCGTCAAGGAAATTTACCAAATAATAGTCTAAGGGCCAATTTCACCAACAACAGTCCATTATTCTCCACCTATAGGGTAACAGACCGTCATATACAGCGAATGAGCTTCAAGTTCCAATCAACAAATTTTATCAACCAATAGCTATGAAATGTTTAAAACAAAATACTGTCAAAGTATGAGATGACAACTTGTCATTGAAACATCACCAGCTTATTGAATATTAAGAAATCACACATAATTCAGTCAAAATTTTAAGAAATGTTGGATTTTTGAATTAAATTCATGTTTTAATTACTATTGTTGATTTCTTATTCATGCTTATATTATTTTTTTCAATTGATATGTGATACTGGATTTTTTTTCCTATAAACCTCTTGCAGATAGCCATTAAGCACCTACTTGATGACAGGCTCTACCAAATGATATTGCTCGTTTCCAAACATTCATTCATTTACTTGCCGTTCATCAGAACCATTATGGCACCTTAGATTGATATTCCCACAAAACCATTCAGGATTTGGATATCCATACATCCATAAAGTTGAATATTTTTCGTTGCTCAGGAACTGAACAGACATCCACACTATATTCACAGCGATTAAGAAATTCCCAAATATATACCTTAAGGCTACCAGCAAACCTAAAACCTGCAAAAAAACTACAAATTTGCCACCTTTTTCTTTTTTCACGAGTACATATTCTAGGTTATATTTATATTAGACATTATTCGAATACAGCTGATTATTGCATTTAAAGGAGTGACACATGTGTGGGATCTGTCAACTCTTGATACCAGTCACAAAACATATACTCTGACGGTTTAATTCCATGCTACTCAATGACCACACAGTGACTTGTGCGGTTGCCAGCGGCCGTTTTGTGAGGCTGCGACAGGGTTGCCAGATTGTGCATTAATATCCCGTTTCACCCTCCTGGTCCCAGTGGAGTAAGTTCCGCCAACTGTTGAAATATACTCTACTATGCTTTATAAGACTATTCGTGACATGTTTCTCAAAATCATTGCACAGCACTTGAAAAAATGCAAATGAAAATTTAAAATTATTTCCATGATGCAAAATAGCTCCGTCGGTTATACATCTTGACAGTAGGGATGTTCGATACGATCCTATATTTAAAAGTATCAATACATTTCACGAGTATCGTCATCTTTCGATCCGGACTGTGTCAGAAAGAGTGACTGCCATTTGACATTAGAAGGAAGTGATTTTATATTCTATATTTATTTATTAGAAGCTTCAGAACAAGATGTCACATGATCCCCTATCTTGTTTAAAAGATGTAACAAGGTGGCGGCCAGCCGTTATCTTGAAATGTTTAGTTATTATTTTTACATGTAGAATTTCACATTGCTAACTTGACTTACAACAAAAAGAACAAGTATACCTTTCTGAAAAGCACTGAATGTTCAGAAAGTCAGTCATTTGCTTTATGAAAAATCTGAAAAAAAAATCGCATAATTTTTCAGGTGCTTTTCCCGATTTTTTCTTTGCGATCTCGTATCATTATCCACGTGCAGCCATTGTTGCAATGACGATGAAAATAATATTTTGATAATATCTCGCAATACCAACACTTTTTGTGAATTTATTCTGGTGCGAGAAGTGAAAAAATTTATTTTCAAGCGTATGCTCATCTACTACAAGAAACTAAATGCGACATGTGTATACATATAGTAATCTCAGTATCATGGTAAGAAACTACCAATATATTGCATGAAACTTACATTGGGTAAAAAATGAAATCAATAGAACAAATATTCAACTTATTTATTCGTCGTGGGAAAAGATAACATTGCAGAACGTAATTCTTATCAGGTTCAACTTTGAATCACTTACAGTAACACTTGTCCAGTTTACAGCCGATAACCTGACACCCGACTCTGTTGCATTCTCCAGGGCAGGACTCCTGACACTTTAATACGCTCTTCTTATGGGAAAACTCGTAACTGAAGCAGTCTTTAGCATCGACAGTCCAAGCAGCTGTAGCTAGCACCGCCAATAAAACGCAGCAGAAACGTTTTGCTAGAACCATTGTTAATAGCCTTGTCGAAACATTTACTGATAGCTGCTGAAAGTAAAGTGCATTATAGTTTTGTTAACTGACAATGTATATCTACTTGCTTATCTCCAATGACAGTCCATTTATCAAGGATGGTTGGGAACAGTCAACATCAAGTAGACTGACTCGGTATTTTAAGACCCTCCCGACGTTCAAAATCGACAGAGTTCAGGAAAAACACGAAGTTATTTAATTTCCATTGCCATTGCTAATTTTTCCAAACTCGATTGACTTGCCTACATCATGAAAATCTTTGGCACTTATTTCTCTCTTTCTGCCTGCCTATTCGTAAGTCCGTCTGTTTGTTTACGTCATCGTGTGTTCCTTGAAATGACTGCACCGATTTTGACAAAATTTGGAATGCGATATGCTAAATCAAAGTGATTCAGTAATTTCGTATGTTTTTCAGCTTCTTTGACTATTATAACCAAGTTTTCAGAGATTCAAAGATTTCAAAATACTTTATTTTGTTTTTCTACCCTCTGAGCATTTGGGTCATAGTTGAAATAAAATGTCAGTAGAACGAGAAATTTGAAACAAATCGTGTCATCCTTACCACTTCAGGGTCAGGCTATTGTTAACTTCACTCACCAAATGTATGAATTTCGGATTCGAGTTATTACAATCCTATAAATGCTTTGTCGGACTTTGTCGCGATGCGTTCTGTATTTTAAAATGAAATAAAAAGTTTGTTAAATTTTGTTGAAATATCCTAATTGGCAGCCATTTAGCCGAAATATGATAACTGGGCGTATGTTAATCGTGGCGGAGTCATTTAGTGATAAGTGATATAAATAATAGAATATTCCTGTCGTATTTATCAAAAGTTCATTAGTTACAAGGTAACTTATTCCAATATTGATATTTGTAACCAATGAATATTCAAGGCCTCACGAGAAAATGCATAGTGATCTCAATACAGGTTTGTTATTTCAGAAATAGATGAATTATGGTGAAACTATGGATGTATGATGTAAAACAGTAATGTCCGCTTATAAAGAACTTCAAGGGACCGGCGAAACTGGTTCCTAATAAACGATAAATAATGCTAATACCAGAAAATATTTTTCATTAGTTTACTATTCAAACAGGGTTATATAAAATGTTGTAATAATAGTATATATGTAATAACATCTGTAATCCACATTTATAAAAGTTTTTGAAAATTTTTCTTAAAAAAATCATTTATTTTAGTTTGGTTTATTGTTGTGTGTCATTAGTACGTAATTCCACTTCAGCTAGTCGATCTAGCACACGCTGCGGAGTATTTCGTGACTGAAGGAAATGACGAACGCTGTCAATATGTCGAAGTGCTTCTGATGTGGCTGGAGTTGGTATCAGTTCCATACCGACAGATTCTTCATCTTTATTTTCCCTTTCTTCGTCATCAACAGTATCAACTGCCGAAGATAAAGCAGCTGCAATGGCAGCATCATCCAGGTATTCGACAGTCACAACTTGGTCACTAATATACTAAGTGACATATAAATCCGAACACCCAGTTTAAATGGTTTTATTTTAATAAAAGATGGTGAATGTATTTATCTTACTGTAAATAACAAGTGAAAAAATTTTTAGCCTTATCAGTTGGACATTCCGGTTTTTATACTGCTTTTTTTAATTCACTAACGCTCTAAAAATGAATATTTCAGCCGCAGTAAAGAATCAACGTTGTACGGAGACCTGTACGATTTCGTCAACTTAGTGAGTTTGATAGGGGCCGTATAATGGGACTTCGGAAGGTGGACTTTCTTTTCGGGCATTGCAGTTAGAGTGCAAAGAAGTGTAGACACTGTGGTTTAGGTGTTGTCAGGCATGGCTTCGAGAAGGCCGTACGCAAAGGGCAAGGGGCACTGGACGCCGCCGTAGAACAACAGACCGTGGAGATCGCCGCCTAAGATTATTGGCCTTAAGGGACCGTTTCTCCACTACCAGGTCCATTGCAAATGAATGGTTTGCAGAACACGGAAGACCTATTGGCATGCGAAGTGTTTACCGACGAATGAGAAGTTTTGGCTTGTTTTCATACCGGCCACACTGGGTCCTCCCTTTAACTCGAGAACACCGACGTAATCGCCTTGAGTGGTGCAGACAACGGTCACTCTGGGATCAGGAATGGAACAGTATTGTCTTTAGTGACTAGTCTCGATTTTGTCTAGGCATGCACGATGGTCGTGCCAGGGTTAGAAGGCGACGTGGTGAAAGGAGGAATCCACAGTTTTTGTTGAAAGACATGTTCATCATACTGTTGGAGTTATGGTTTGGGGTGCTATAGCTTATGGTTCCAGGTCACGTTTAATCTTCATCAGAGGTAACATGAACGCACAGCGTTATATCCACGGAGTTCTAGAACCCCATCTTTTACCCTATCTTGACACCCTGGCATATCCAACTTTCCAACAAGATAATGTCCGACCACATGTTGCAAGAGTCACAATAGACTTCTTTCAACATAATGATGTCACATTGTTACCATGGCCACCAAGATCTCCCGACTTGTCCCCAATTGAGCACGTGTGGGATATGATGGGTAGGAGATTACTCAATTTGCAACGTCGTCCTCAGACTCTAGAAGCACTTCGAGAGGAGTTGGTGGTTGCCTGGAATGAGATACCACAGGAGGACATTGACCACCTGATCAGAAGCATACCTAGGCGCGTTGGAGAATGCGTAGCACATCAGGGTGCATCCACACATTATTAAAGGTCAAAGGGCTTTAATGCAGTGCAATCATTTTGAAATTTTTATCATTTACTTATTATGCTTCATTAAGTACTTATACAAAATTTTATTAAAATAACACCATTTAAACTGAGTGTTCGGATTTATATGTCACTTAGTATATGAACAAACTCATTGAAATCGTTTTCACTATAAGATTGGCTTTGATATTGTCTCGAAGACCGTCTTCTTGTTGAAGTTTCTTCATCGACTCAACTAATGGCAGGTGATCGTCGGGATCAAAATGATCCTCAACCTCCAAGAAACCCCCATGCGTAAAACAATTTAAAATCGTTTCTTTTGATACCTTCTGCCATGCCTTATGAATGTTTATTGCATCCAAATGATTGATTTTAAAATTTTCCCCGCCACTATCAATAAAATCTACCATTCTCCAGAGAAGAGCTTGACGATAATGGCTTTTTAAACTATGGATTACACCCTGATCCATAGGCAGTAGCTTAGAACTCGTGTTTGGGGGTATGAACACTAGGTTAATACAGTCCAAATTTATAACATCTGGATGAGCTGGACAATTGTCCACTAATAATGTAATTCTTCGTTTTTCGCGGCGTAACTCAACATCCCAATTACGCAGTTCAGCATAAAAAATCTCTAAGGTCATCCATGCTCTTTTATTGGATTTGTAATTAAATGGCAACTGTGAAACATTTTTAAAATATCGATGGCTTCTCGGTCTTCCAATTACCAATAGATTTATTTTTTTTGTCCCTGTTAGATTTACCACTACAAGCACAGTGATTCTTTGTTTAGGTAGCTTCCCACCCTCACACTTCTCGCCTTTGAATCTTAAGGTCCTGTCTGGTGTAAGCTTATAGAATAACCCAGTTTCATCTGCATTAAATATGTCCTCGTCTTTGAAGTTCCTTCTAATGATTGGCCACTTGTCCCGCAACCAGTTATTCACACAGTCCATATCAATTGCAGCAGACTGTCCAACAATTTTTCCACTGGTAATGTTATGTCGTCTTTTGAATCTTTCGATCCAGCTTCTACTAAATATAGGTTCTTCACTCAGTTCTTCATGTTTCAATAACTTCTTCCCAAGGTCCTAAGCCTTCGATTGCAGTATAGCACCATTTATGGTTACTTTTTATTTCTCTGTTGAGAAACCCATTTCAGAAGTCCCTGTTCAACTTTGTAATTCGTGGGCTTTTTAATTTTCTTCACTTTTATGTTTTGGCCTTTCTCAAACATTTCCAGTATTTTGTCTTTATTTTTCCAAATTGTACCAAGTTGTAATTAAAATAAAAAATTGTAAATCAAATTTATATCTCAGAGTGCTTATTTATGTATGTTTAGGACATGTTATTGTGCAGTAGATTTTACTTAATCCCATTTCAGAACTTTGCTTCACACCTCCTTGCAATCTTTCGTCGATATCGCATTCACTATTTAAAGTAAAGTAAGAGCTTCACGTGTTTTCTTAGAAATTGCTTCACCCATGATTTCAAGAGTGCAATACACTGAATACAACGAATAAAGACGGTATATACGTAGTCGTGCCATAAGTTCTGTCCCATGATAATCTCATGATAAAAATGAAACAAGATAAGATATATTTATATAAAAGATATTATTTATTCGACAACATTTTTAGAATTCATAATCAAACAGTTTTATTCAAAATGTCCCCCCTTGGCCTTCACACACTGCTTCAATCTCGCGGGCCACTCATCTATCACTGCACGCACAGCTTCCAAAGGATAGCTGCCGTTGATCGGATCAAATCCGCTTTCAGGGACTCGATATTACGGTGGGCTTTGGAGCAGGCGAACTGCTCTAGCAGGTCCCACAACTTGTAGTCTAAAGGATTGAGGTCCGGACTCCTGAAGGCCAATCTTCCGCAGCAATGAACTCTGGCACATTGCTTTCCAGCCAGCGCTGCGTACTCTTAGCCTTGTGAGCGGGGGCGGAATCCTGCTGGTAGACCCAGTGTTGGTTGGCAAACAATGTACCACTTAAAGGCTTGACGATAGGATCCAGTATGTCGCTCTGATAGTTTGCCGCTTTTGTTTCACGCCCTGTTTACAGAAATGGAGCTGAGTGACCCTTCGTAGGACACCCCCCACCAAACCATGACTGACGCAGGGTGGTGGCCTCTCTCAACTCTCGGAATGATCTCCGAAGCTTCCTGTGAACTCCTTGCATACACTTTGTCATTTTGTCGGTTGAATTTTTCTTCTATGGTGAAGATTTTCTCATCCGTGAACAAAATCTTTCGGAATCCCCCAGCTGCGTACCTCTCCAAGAGCTTCTTGGATCTTGTCGCCCTGATGTGTCGCAAGGTGGCCGTAAGTCGCTGGCCCGTACGTCTCCGGTAAGCCCCTAGCCCTAGGTCTTGTTTAATGATGCGCGACATCGTCCGGACAGGAATCTTCATTTCCCTGGATAGGATCTTCTGCTTCCGGAGTGGATTCCTTTGAATCCTGGCTTTTACGGCTTTGATGGCTGCTGGAGTCCTTACTTGACGAGGTCTTCCGCTTCTTGGCCTGTCATCAACAGAGGACGTCTCATTGTACCGCTGAATGGTCCTAGACACAAATTTACGCGATATTTGAAGGCCGCGTAAGAGTTCAAAAATCTGACTAGCACTGTGATTACACTTATGTAAAGCTATCACTGCAATACGGTTCTCTGCCTTGCCCCACTCCATCGTTATGCTTCGAGAGATCAATACAAACTGAGGTATATGTAATTACCCGAAAAGCGCTTAATCAACTGACACCACAATGTAAACAATCGGACAAGTATTAACAGGTCTACACTTGTTTGAAAACGAGGGACAGAACTTATGGCATGACTATGTATATTACCTGATTCTGGTAAAATCCAGTTTTACGCTCATTATAACCGAAAAATTTTACGAATATACCAAGCTTTAGGTTCGTTTTATCAGGAGGTTCGTTATAAACGGGTTCGTTATTTGCGCGAAAAATAGCACACATTTAATATCATTTCAGTCGGTACCTTATAAAC